ATGGGTGCACGTGGCACGATCCACAGCGCGCAATCTAGTCCGCGGACGGAACATATCCTCGAGAGATGCAGCAACTAACCGCCTCGATATCCGTACACCCAGACACAATAATGGAGTGGCAGCCATACGAACCGACCGGAAGTGCCGATGGACCTTGGCCTGGATAAGACGGGCAGTCCGATCAATGGGAGAGTTCGCGAGGTCCGCCGCATCCTCATTCGTCGTGCGTATCATCGAATGGCACCACCACCCAGAAAACATACGGGCTGGAATAAATTCATCATCAGTCAAACCACTAGCTAAACCATCCAACTCATAAAGCGCATCATCTACAGCCTTGCACCGCATTACCACCCGAAATTTCGTAGCTTTATCATACAGTCCCAGGTCCACGAATTCAAGTGAGATCCCAAGGTCACGTAACTGGGTGAGCATAGTGTAGTTCAATGCATGCCGAGGTCCCGCTGCGAGTATCTGCAATGCTTCCCTATACTGGCGCCGAACCCCTGGAGTGGCCCTCACCAGCTGAATCCGCCACTGCAAGACGGAGAGGCAATCAGAGTGGAACAGGCGGATGGTGGTCGCCAAGCCCAACGAGAGAGAGCGAAGAAGACGAACTCGCTGCCAGAACTTATTCATCGTTTCAACCCAGGCAACTTCATGGGCCGAGGGCCCACCCAGAATCCGAGGTACAAAACTCTGGTGGCGAAACGGACTGAGGCGAAACGGCTGCCTTCCCGAGTCACGTGGGCAGCGAGGGCATCTCCATTCAGCGTCCCGCAGATCAGGACGCAGCACTTCCCCGCATTCAACGAGAGACCAATCGCGGAAGAGAGCAGGTCGAGAAGCAGCAAAAGGTGGGCATGCGATCGATGAGAATGTCACATAATCCAAAGCAGCAGTCATCAGCGCACGCCAATTGGACACCCACACGTTCCACACGGCGGGCACGGATCCAGCGCAAAACGGGGTCCAGGGTCAGAGCAAAGAGGGTCATTGACGCAGGATCCCCCTGCCGTACACCCCGTTCCACAGGGAAAACCGTTTCGGCAGCGCCCTCAAAGCAGACCAGGGCCGTATTGTTGGCGCACAGTGCTTTGAAGAAACCCACGGTCTCGCTGGGAACCCCCATGGCCACCAAAACGGCAAAAATCCACTCGGCCAGGATCGAAGGGAAAGCCGCCTTGAAATCGGTGAACAAGACCCCCGCTTTATCTCTACCACACATGTGTTGGATAAGGCCCCATTTTTGAACCTCAACGACATTGTTAAGAATGTTACGCCCTCGAACCCCACCACGCTGGGAGACGTCCACCGTCGCAGGAGCGACGTCATTGAGTCCCAAACAGAAAGCATCGGAGAGCATCTTCGCATCCGCATTCGCGAGGGAGAGCGGGCGGGTGGAGGCAGGTGCACGAGAGACAAAGTCGCTGCGATCACGGGGGTCGCTGCCCTTCGGGAGGAACACCATACGACTAACCCGACATTCAGGAGGGAGAGCACCTCCTGCGCCATTGAAAACCTCCTCGTAAACCTCGAACAAAGCATCGGTCGCCTCAGGGACCTTCCAACAACCATACGGGATCCCATCAGGCCCAGGGGCAGAATGAAATTCATGGCCGACACGGCCCCGAAATTCATCGGCGTCCAGTTTCCACCGTGGGGCAGGAGTACAGTCGCCAATAGTCTGAACGTGGGTCAGCATTTCTTCCCAATGAGTCGGGTCGTACTCCGCCTGGGCAAAGACCTTACTCCAATGGGCTACCAGTGCCGCAGAAGCCGCTTCTGGGGAGGCACACGGTGTCCCGCTCTCGTCCAATACTCCTGGCAGCCCAGTCCTCCTCCTCATGAGGTCCCACCCACGCCTAAGAGCCACCAGCCTCCGTCTCTTCTTGGCCCTGACCTCCTCCACCTGGTTACTATGATCCTACTCCTCCAACTCCGCATCAAACCAACGCCCCTTCAATGTTAGTACCAAACTGTGGAGGCCATCAGGACCAGTGCACTCCCCGCCGTCGACGTCGAAGAAAGGCAGGAGAGAGGCGTAGCAGCGAATGGCACGAAAACAGAGATACCACAGCCGACCCCATCCATCCACGGCATGCCATGAACGCAGAGTGGAGCCGTTCCGCATCGTTGCCCGCTGGCCGGCACTTAAGGGTCTTCTTAAATTGCACAGCAGCCGTACCAAAAACCTCTTTCACCCTCGCGGGTTTCTGTGCAGGGTCCGATGGGAGCGTCAGCCCCCGAAGCTGTTCGGAAACCGTTCTGTGGTAGTCGGCATGCTGGCTGATCCATTTCGGAACCGAGAAACGACCCTTCGGGGTCGGGAGGGAAACAGTTGCAGCGACGGGGATGTGATCGGAGGAGGCCCCTGGATGCATGAGGGTGCCGACAGCGTTGACAACAACGGTCATCTCATTGAGAATACCTGCAGGAAGGGTCGTGTAAATCCGATCTAATCTGGCCAGCCCCCTCAGTTCCCGATTCACAATATCCCTTCGGCTCGGGTCAGGTTGGTAAAATTCACACCAGTGGCTACAATGTTCCTGAAAAGCATCACATTGCAAACGGTCCCCAGGCCCAATCTCCCCAGAGACAAGAGACCTACCATCCTCCATCGTACAGAAATTCCAGCCTCCCAGAATGATAACCATGGTATGCGCTGCCGCAGGAAGGGCGGCATTGATGAGGCGTAAGTACTGAGGATAGATACGAACGTCATCGCACGTGTTAGGCATATGTACATTGACCACTACCAAATCGCCTCGGGGCCCCCGACCATGGACTAGTAACACCCGCCCAGGGACGACCGTAATCGGACTGATCTGGTCGAAGCAGTCACAGAGTTCCGAAGACAGGAAGGTCCCCCCCCCCCCCCCGCGTTCCTATCCTCCAGAAAGCTCTCAAAAGATTGCCCAGTCCGCATTTCACCCCGAAGGATAACCAAGTCTGCTTCAGATCCGTGCGTCTCCTGTAAACACATGACCTGATACTGTGAGAGCAGCTGCTTAGCCCGAAGGAAGCGCGAACGTGACCGAGAGGAACGAGACGAAAGAGAGGCGAAGAGCGCGCGCGTGTTCCAACTGCATATGGACAGGGGACGGGCAGGACGGTAGACACCGCCAGCTTCCCCAGCAGGCGGCGAGAAGGATAAAGCACTGTCACTTGCGTGGTGTAATCAAACTGGGCGGAGAGGGCGGACGAGCACTCCGTAGCAGAACCCACTGGACCTCCCCCCACCGCGCACTCACCTGTAGAACTGTTCCGATACTCACCGAAAGGGGCGGATCTCTGCGAACCTGGCGTGCAGACACTGTGCATGCTGCTGCCCCCCCACTTCCGTCAACCCCTCGATCTCGACGCCGTTGTCCTTCATCACATACACTGCACCTCCTAGTCCCGTCGACCCCACTTTGTCCGCCCCGAAGATTCTGGCGACATGCTGTCGCATATTCCCGAGATAGTAGAACAGCTTCCTGGAAGTGGGGGGAAGATCACGTCGGACCCGTAGCTGTAAGTCGGGACCGCCCTCAGGGTTCGGGAAGGGGAACGTGCCCACGGACGATGCCATTCCATGGAACGTGGAGGCCTCTAGGTTGGAATCAAAGTCTAGGAACACCTTCTAAGTGCAATCGTAGGCCTTGACATGGATCGAACCCTGAGTCGAGGACGGAGCACCGCGGGAGAGGATACTCTGGACAGCTTCTCGGAGCGTTTTCTCCATCAGCGGCCGTGGAAATCCAAGAACCACAAGACGCGAGGGGTTACCCACAAGCCCAGAGTCAACCCTCCGACGGACTTGCCTTTCTTCTTCCCCATGAGGGGTCGGGGCCCCTAGCTCGACGACTTTCTGAATGTCCTGGATCTCGCCACGCATCGTCTGGATCATTCCTTTGAACTCATCACGGAGAGCGGATTCTGCGGTCTCACGGTCCTGAATGCACTGCAGGAGGGCCTGTTCGTGGATCACCCGCATCTGCTCGAAATTAGCTGCCGTCTGTTTTGCCAGTTCCGTGTGTGCCTGCTGAAGTGTCTGGAAGTTCTTCTCAGCTGCAATCATCTGACCCTGGATTCCCGAGATCTGTTGGTTAATCTCCTGCACGCCGAGATTCAACTGACTGGACAGGCCGGCGACCGACGACGACAGAGAAGCGATCATGTCACGCATGGCAGCGAGGATCTTCTCAGTGTCCCTCACTCCCTCCATGGACGTACCTCCAGGCGCCGCAGGGGGGGTACTCGTCCCTCCAGGGGAGGCTGGCGGAGTTGAGGAGGCGAAACTGGCCAGCTATCTTCAGACGGCATGGCGAGGGAGGGAAGGGAGGCGCGGCCGCGGCGGGCCGAGGGAGAGCGGCCCCGCGGGGCCAGGGGAGCGCGTCCGCTCCCGGCCTTGGTGCCTGGCCACCAGGCGCCTCGAGCGAGGTTGGGAAGTTCAGGAGAAGGCCCCTTGAGCCAAAATGGCTACGGAGAAGGAGAGGAGGAGAGGAGGAGGAGGAGGAGGAGGAGGAGGAGGAGGAGGAGGAGGAGGAGGAGGAGGAGGAGGAGAGGAGGAGGAGGAGACCTCGTGTCCAAAGCGACGTGCCGCGCAGGCGGCCGACGTGAGCCGCGGCGTAAGGTCGCTGTGCCATTTTTCTTTTCGTCGCTCAGGTGGATCCACGGCGAACAACGGTCGAGCAACCTGCTCCGGAGGCCTCTGGAGGCCCCCCTCCCCCCACGAGGCTGTCGTCGTCGTCGTCGTGACTAGTCGTGGTCGTGGTCGTCGTCGTGGTCGTGATCGTGGTCGTCGTCGTGAGCATTGGCGGCTTCTGCGCGGGCATCTTGCGCGCGAGTGTCGGCGCAAACGGGCCCGTCTTCGTCCGTCGCTCACCCGTGTGCTTGCCCAGGAGGGCCGGACGCTGGGCCCGTCGAGGCCGAAGGCCAGGAAGAGCTGCGAGGTCGAAGGGATCACAACGTCGGAGATCTGAGGTCACCGCCACGACGACGACCACGACGAGGAC